GCGCGACGACGCGCGCGTGTGCACTTCGTCCCTTGTTTTTGCAAGGGGTTATTGAAAACTTATGATTGTTGATAAACGACTGTGCGCGCGTTGATTATTTGGTTGAGGATGAGTGGGGTCGATACCGGCCTGGCAGGGATGGTGCGATCTCATATTTAGGATGGACGATGGGGCAAATCATGTGCAAATTGCCATACGAAAAAGGGTGCGGTTCCACCTGGGGGGAGGAGGAGATCCGAATACTCTTTGAGAGAGGAGAATCTATCGGGCGGCGACGCGCGGCGAAGGGGGGGCAGCCACAAGCTGGCCACGGCGGCAGACCAGGCCGCTCCGTTTAGACCAAATAAGAAACCCCGAAGGCAAGCACTGCTTGGGGAGAATCCACACCGTCAGCGACCGACGGGTGCCTTCGTGCCACCTGTACGCACAGCCACGAGACATCCATGCCCACATCTGCTGGAGCCCCGCCCCTGGCCGCTGGAGCCCGTGGAGCCAGGTGCTACCACCAAAAGGCGTCTCTGGCCCGAGGTGCCCTCAGCCTTTCGAGCTACTGCGGCCCTCTGGGCCTCGCGAGGGGTGCTTTGGAGACCATCTGGGCTTCCCAGAAAATCCTGCGGCTACCTCGGGCCAGGGGCACCTCTGGCAACTGTTCTGAACCAGCGGCCGCAAGAAAGTCAGACAGCGGTCCAGCAGCGGCGGGGCGCGGCTGGCAACACTCGACGGAGGGGGAGGCCGGATGGAGAGAGAGAGAGAGAGAAAGAGAGAGAGAAAGAGAGAGAGAAAGAGAGAGAGAGAAAGCTGGAGCTGGGGATACAATTTGCCTGGCAAAGAACCCAACCACATGTAGTTGTGCGTACCGCCATTGTAAATACCTTCATCGGTGGCGCTCCCGATGGGGTGTGCCGAAACGGGTGCAGCGGACGCATGTGGACGGTGGCACTGGGGCCTTCGGAGGAGCTCCCTAAGGGACCACCAAACGTGTGAGGGGTGTGCCGAAATTTATATGGGGGACGCATGTGGACGGTGGCACTGAGACCCTCGGTGGAGCTCCCCATGGGGCAACGAAACGTGTGAGGGGTGTGCCGACATTTATGCGGGGACGCATGTGGACGGTGGAACTGGGGCCTTCGGTGGAGCTCCCTATGGGGCCACGAAACGTGTGAGGGGTGTGCCGCAATGCGTGCAGGGGACGCATGTGGACGGTGGCAGTGGGGCCTTCGGTGGAGCTCCCTATGGGGCCACGATACATGTGAGGGGTGTCCAAACATGGGTGCGGGGGACGCATGTGGAGCGTTGGGGCCTTCGGTGGAGATCCCTATGGGGCCACGAAACGTGTGAGGTGTGTACCGAAATCGTTGTAGGGGGACGCATGTGGACGGTGGGCTGGGGCTTTCGGTGGAGAGGCCTATGAGGCCACGATACGTGTGATGAGTGCGCCGAAATAGGTGTGGGGGACGCATGTGGACGGTGGCACTGGGGCCTTCGCTGGAGCTCCCTATGAGGCCACGAAACGCGTGAGGGGTGTACCGCAATGCGTGCGGGGGACGCATGTGGACGGTAGTCACGGTAGCACTGGGGCCTTCGGTGGAGCTCCCTATGGGGCCACGAAACGTGTGAGGGTTGTGCCGCAATGGGTGTGGGGGGACGCATGTGGGCGGTGGTACTGGTGCCTTCGGTGGAGCTCCTATGGGGCCACGAAACGTGTGATAGGTGTGCCAAAATGTATGTGGGGGACGCATGTGGACGGTGGCACCGGGGCCTTCGGTGGAGCTCCCTATGGGGCCGCGAAACGTGTGATAGGTGTGCCGAACTCGGTGCGGCGGGCGCATGTGGACGGTGGCCCTGGGGCCTTCGGTGGAGCTCCTATGGGGCCACGAAACGTGTGATAGGTGTGCCAAAATGTATGTGGGGGACGCAAGTGGACGGTGGCACTGGGACCTTCGGTGGAGCTCCCTATGGGGCCGCGAAACCTGTGATGAGTATGCCGAAATGTGTGTGGGGGTGCAAGTGGACGGTGGCACTGGGGCCTTCGGTGGAGCTCCCTTTGGGGCCACGAAACGTGTGAGGGGTGTGCCGAAATTTATGTGGAGGACGCATGTGGACGGTGGCAGTGGGGCCTTCGGTGGAGCTCCCTATGGGGCCACGAAACGTGTGAGGGGTGTGCCGCAATGGGTGTGGGGGGACGCATGTGGACGGTGGCACTGGGGCCTTCGGTGGAGCTCCCTATGGGGCCACGAAGCGTGTGAGGGATGTGCCGCAATGCGTGCGGGGGACGCATGTGGACGGTGGCACTGGGGCCTTCGGTGGAGCTCATATGGGGCCACGAAACGTGTGAAAGGTGTGCCGCAAAGAGTGTGGAGGACGCATGTGGACGGTGGCACTGTGGCATTCGGTGAAGCTCCCCATGGGGCCACGAAACGTGTAAAGGGGAGTGTCGAGTCGAAATGGGTGCGGGGGACGCATGTGGACGGTGGCACTGTGGCATTCGATGAAGCTCCCTATGGGGCCACGAAACGCGTGAGGGTGTGCCACAGTGGGTGTGGGGACCGCATGCTGGCACCCCCACTGGGGCCTTCGGTGGAGCTCCCTATGGGGCCACGAAACGTGTGAGGGATGTGCCAAAATGTGTGGGGACCGCATGCGGGCACCCCACTAGGGCCATCGGTGGAGCTCCCTATGGGGCCACGAAACGCGTGAGGGTGTGCCAGAGTGGGTGTGGGGACCGCAGGCTGGCACCCCCACTGGGGCCTTCGGTGGAGCTCCCTATGGGGCCACGAAACGTGTGAGGGGTGTGCCAAAGTGAGGGGGGTGACTGGAGGAGGGAGGAGGGGAAGGAGGAGAAGGAGGAGGAGAGGAGAGGAGGGGCGCGGGGACCGTCTCTTCAAAACGAGTACCCAACACCACAAGATGGTTGGGAAAAAATACCCTAGCGAAGGACCCAACCATATGCAGTTGTGAGGGCCGCACTTGTGAGTACCGTCTTCGGTGGAGCTCCTTGTGGGGCCACGAACCTTTCGAGGGGTGCGCCGACATGAGGGTGGAACTGCATGCGAGCGCTGCCACTCGAGCCTTCGGTGGAGCTCCCTATGGGGCCACGAACCCTGTGAGTGGTTCGCCGGAATGAGGGTGGAACTGCATGCGAACGCTGCCACTGGGGCCTTCGGTGGAGCCCCCTATGGGGCCACGAATCCTGTGAGGGGTGTGCCGCAATGAGGGTGGAACTGCATGCGAACGCTGCACTGGGGCCTTCGGTGGAGCTCCCTGTGGTGCCACGAACCCTGTGAGGGGTGCGCCGAAAAGAGGATACAATTGCATGCGAACGCTGCACTGGGGCCTTCGGTGGAGCTACCTATGGGGCCACGAACCCTGTGAGGGGTGCGCCGAAATGAGGGTGGAACTGCATGCGAACGCTGCCACTGGGGCCTTCGGTGGAGCTCCCTGTGGGGCCACGAACCTTTCGAGGGGTGCGCCGACATGAGGGTGGAACTGCATGCGAGCGCTGCCACTCGAGCCTTCGGTGGAGCTCCCTATGGGGCCACGAACCCTGTGAGTGGTTCGCCGGAATGAGGGTGGAACTGCATGCGAACGCTGCCACTGGGGCCTTCGGTGGAGCTCCCTGTGGGGCCACGAACCCTGTGAGGTGTCCGCCGAAATGAAGGTGGAACTGCACGCGAACGCTGCCACTGGGGCCTTCGGTGGAGCTCCCTGTGGGGCCACGAACCCTGTGATGGGTGCGCCGAAAAGAGGATGGAACTGCACGCGAACGCTGCCACTGGGGCCTTCGGTGGAGCTACCTATGAGGCCACGAACCCTGTGAGGTGTCCGCCGAAATCGGATGGGCATGCGGAGAGCAGAGGCAAGGATGAGAAGCAGGAGGGAGGAGGAGGAGGCGGGAGGGACGCGGGGCGCTGTCTCTTCAAAACGAAGACCCAACACCACAGGATGGTTGGGAAATACCGGTACCGCTACTCCCCGGACCTCTCCCAGGGTGCGTTCTGGCCAGGATTTCGAAGCGAATCCAGCGATGGCGACGAGGGCCTGCCAGGAGGCCCGATAAGGGAACAGCGAGACAAGGGTAGCGGTATGGGTACCTTTCCCACCTCTGATGGAACACGGCGCGGGGCAGGGAGAGTGCGGAGAGGCAAGCAGAGGACGGGGGCGCTGGGCGTCTCTTCGACTGGCAGCGACGGGTGGCGTGGTGCGCAGCGTCGCGGATGAGCGCTGAGAGTGGAATGCGCGGAGGCACGAGCTGAGACTGGAGCGGCCGAGGGGGGAAGGGCCGAGCAGCCGCAGAGGGCCCTGGACACATTGCGACGCTGCGCCCGCACGGTCCCACAGGGCGGCCCCGCGAGGTTCCCCTGGGTGGCACCAGCAGGTCTGTGCAGATGCGCACCGGGGGGCTGGGAGAGTGCAGAAAACCAGGCCAGCTGAAGCAGCGTGACGCTACGCTTCGCTGGCGGCCCTCCTCGTCCTCCTGATCCTCATCGTCCTCCGCCTCGTCCCACGAGGATTTGGAGGGCACCGACCCCTGGGCCCCACGACTCAGTCGGGATCTCCTTCCTCCCCCTCCCCGAGAAGCGAGCGCCCGTGGGCTGGCAAAAGCAACACACCGCGGCATCTTTGGCTGGCCTGGCTCGCGTCGAGCACTCTCAGATTGATCACACTCCGCCCACCGCCACTGGCCGAGGACAGACTGGGTCGAGAGGCTCCGCCTCATGGGACTCCCGCGCGTGCGAGATACGGACGTGGCACCACTGGCTCGCAGTTTTATAAGTCCGCGGGCGCCACGTAGTCCAAGACAGTCAGACGATGGTCAGCAAACGGTGGGGCGCACCAGGAGCGAATTGAGGCACGAAGGCGAAAAGGAACAGAACGCAACTGGCTCGCAGACAGTCTTCGTCGACGCGCAGCGCGAGATCTAAACCTGCTGCGCTCGCCTCCCGCTGGCCTGGCCCTCGGCACCCTCCGTCGTGCAGGGACAGGAGCGGCCCCCCGCCCGCCTTGCGGAGCACGTACGCGTAGTGCTTGGAGGCAGCGGTGTCCCTCGGAGGTATCAGCACCTGCGGTGGGAAACGAACGTGGAGCACACCGTCGGAGACGAGCGGCGCGGAGACGGACAAGTTCGGCCAGTCCGATGGGCAGGTGGCGCCGTCGTCCGCGGTTGGCCATGCAAGGCAAGTCGAACTCGTCCGTGTGTTCCGGCCGACATGGATATCTCATGGTCGCTCGAGCTCGTTCACAAATAGACCTCGGAGAGCTTGAAACTGACATCCTCGAAAGATGGGGTGTCTGCTCGGACTGTCTAAGAGCTTGCCAGCACACGGGGCCAGTGGCTTATGGATCCCGACTAGGAACAAATACTTGTGCTAGACCTCGCACGCAAGGCCGCCCGAGCGGACGACCGATCCCAGAAGTCCTCCCTTGGATGGCAGGCCCCCGAGGACAGGGCCCTGGCTGCGCTGATGACTGTCCTGTGACTGCCGAGTGCAGGCACAGAACCCGAGGCGTTTCCATGACGGCTCCAAGACTCCCAAGGCAGTCCGCGGCGACTGCACAAGCAAAAAGCGGCCGAGCCGAGATCGAAACCGAAACCGACCGAGGCCGACAGGCCACAAGCAGCCCAGAAGGGCGCAGCGACGCAACAGCGACGCGACAGCAGACCGACCCGAACCAGCCGAGCGCAACCGACCGCGACGAAGCCAAACCGACCGAACTGCGGACACCCTCGGTCGAACCCACGAGACAGCCTCAGTACTCCCCTAGCATCTCCCAGCTGGCCCCCACCAACGGGCCCCCAGGCAGCAAGGAGCGATCACGTAAAGAAGTATGACTACGCAACAGATCTGCTTGCCTGGTGGCTTCTCCTTCGCCAAGGAAGGCACGCAGAGAGCGGCAAGACGACCGACGTCCCCCAAAGGCGACCCCGGCAGCCTGCAGACACTGTGGCTCCAAGTCGGGCCCGGGACAGCCCAACTCTGCCCCCGGGACGGCCCCCCCAAGGACGGCCCGAGTCCAGCTCAAGACGGCCAGATGGCAGCCAAAGACGGCCCCAGTGCTACCCCATGGCTCCTCCCTCCCGACGGAAGCGGGACCTCCAAGACGGGCCCAGCACTCTCTTTCAGCTGAGCCCGAGAATGCAGCGAAGCAACCCGACTGGCTCAGGGCCGCTCTGGGAGTGAGAAGCCGAACTGAGAAAACAAGCATCGCGTCTCAGCTTACTTTGTCTCCCAACCTTTCCGCCCCCGACGGCCCCGACAAGCTGGCCTTCTTCCGCCTCCTTCGCTTAGCGTCTGCCCAGAGGCCAGGGATCGAAGCGGACGCCTCGAGCGCGGCATCGCAAGCCTCTCTTGAGCGAACGAATCGGGCCTGCTGTCCCCGACGAGGTAACCTGCGCACCCAGGCTTCTGGTAATTAAATTCCTCAAACAACGAATATACGCCAATCGTCCCAAATGATTGCTTACTGCTCGGGCCTCTCGGCCATCCGAAGCATCGATTAGAAAAACGAGAACGACACAAAAGGCGCAGTCGATCGGGACGGCGACAGAAAACCAGTCAACGAGACCAGTATAAGGACCAAACAACACCGTGCTGTTCATTACTCGGACGACGACGCCGCCCGTGAGCAGCTTCACAGGCGCAGTCAGATCTGATCGGCACAGTGCGTGGGAAAGCGGCCCCCGTCGGAAGACGGCACGCCAGCACGAAACCGTCACAGAGGCTCCCACGCCTCGCCCCTCTCAAGTCCACTCAACTATCGTCCCCGGGATCAGCATCATCATCATCATCATCATCATCATCATCATCATCATCATCATCATCATCATCATCATCAGCATCAGCATCAGCATCATCATCAGCATCATCATCATCAACATCATCATCATCATCATCATCACCACCACCATCATCATCGTCATCGATCATCATCACCACCACCACAACCATCACCATCACCATCACCACCACCATCACCATCAGCATCAGCATCAGCAGCATCATCATCATCATCACCACCAGCACCATCAGCATCAGCATCATCATCATCATCCTCATCATCATCATCAGCATCAGCATCAACATCATCATCCTCAGCATCATCATCCGCATCATCATCAGCAGCATCATCATCATCATCAGCATCATCATCATCAATGAATGTCATCATCGTCAGCAGTAGTAGCCGCATCATCAGTATCAGCAACGTCCTCATCAGCAGTATCATAATCCTCATCACCACGATCATCATCATCAGCAGCAGCATCAGCATCAGCAGAATCAATATCATCAGCAGCATCATCATCATCGTCATCATCAGTATCATCATCATCATCATCATCATCATCGTCATCATCAGCAGCATCATTATCATCAGCATCATCAGCAGCAGCACCATCATCCTCATCTGCATCCGCATCCTCATCATCATCCTCATCCGCCGCCGCCTATCCCTTCTCCGCCTCCTCCTCCCCTCGTTCTCCTCTTGACACACCCCGTCTTCCACACTGCAGCAGGCGCTGGCCTCCTTGAGGGTAAACTGGAGGTGCGGCTGCCTCTGGCGCAGTGTGGTGTTTGCTGCTGATTACGCTCAGTCGGCAAAATGCCCAGGGGGAAGGCAGGGCCACTGTGTTCTCTCTCTCTCTCTCTGTCTCTCGTTCTCCCTCTATTGTGCCCCTTTATCTCTCTCTCTCTCTCTCTCTCGCTCTGTCTCTCTCCCTCTCTCTTTCTCTCTCTCTCTCTCTCTCTCTCTTTCTCTCTTTCCTCGCGTTCTTCACTGATTCCTGCGGGTCCCTCGAAGATATAGCGATTTGGAGGCACCCACAGGAAACTGTGAAGAGCATGACTTTTAAGAGGAGGGGGGAGGGGCGGGTCTTCTCAGGAGACTCTGGAGGCCTCTGGCCTGCTGGAACGTTCTCTGAGCCCTCTCGGAAGACATGGACGGCTTCTCATCTGAGAAGCCCCGCCCGCCTTCTGAGAGGGCCTGTCCCTTGAGCATCCCCCCCCGGCCGCGCCACCGATACAGGCCATCGCGCTGCAGGTGCACACGGCGAGTGGGCCCAAGGTGGGCAGCCCGACCCAGAGGCAGGGCGAGGGAGGCCTCGCCTCACGGAGCGCCCGTGCAACCGGCTGCACGGGAGAGGACAGGGAGCGATGAAGGGGGCGAGGAGCAGGAGGAGGAGGAGGAGGCGCAGCAGGATGTGCGTGTGCAAGTGCAGCCGAGCTGCCTCGGCCTGACGATCCTGTTGCCCCCCGCGTGTTCCAAGGATCCGCACAATGACTCGAACAATAGCTGTCTGTGACAACGGCGAATTGTTTCGATGACACGGCGTGCCCTACCCACAGCTGCCTGCGCACGTGAAGGCCCGAGGAGAGGGAAGAAAGGGGATGATCATACGCAGGAGTAAGAAGGAAAAGTAAAGCTGACCAGCTTGAACGAGTCAGCGGGCACCGCCAACTCCCTGACATGAGAGTCAACGTTGTCGCAATCGGAAACTGGAGCTGGCGTGTACCCCCATCCCCACCTACCGAACGGAAGGCACGCGCGCACGCTTCCCCACTTCCGACGACTTGGCGAAGAAAAAGCATGCACGGCGCCCAAGCGGGAACGCAACATTGGGGGATATGATAAGCGTCGAAAAGAAAGCAACGTCATGCTCGCTGGTGCGCGGTCCAGCTTTCAGCAGCATCGACAATCGAAAAAGAGGCGCCTCGCCCAAGCGTGACGCAACCTTCCAGGCAATCCTGCGTGGCGCTGGGCGAGAGCGCAGTTCCGTCCGCTCGGTCGGGGGCAGATTCGCTTCCGACGATCTAGCGGACAGTCCGCCACCGTGCCCCGTGGCACGTTGGTTGAGGCCTGGTTGAATGCCAAAGCTGTCTGGTAGGGTTTGCGGGAACTTCTCCGTGCAGCCCCCCCCTCCCCCTCCAAGTCACACCTGGGTGCGTGCGTCCCCCACCTCTTCCATCGCAGAAGACACAGGAACCACGCTCCCGAGACTACGGGGCCGCGCTCCCGAGGCCACGATCCCGTGCGAAAAAAAACAGGGGCCCGCGTTCCAAGGCCACGATCCGTCGTTGTAACAAAAACAAAGGGCTCGCCCTCCCGAGGCCAAACTCCGTTATGAGAGGCTATGGGCCTACGCTCCCGAAGCAACAATCCCTGGTAAATTGCTCGACGCGGAGACTCCCGTATGTGCACCTCAGTTCCTGGCACGTCCGTCTGTGAGTGAGTGAGGAAACCTTCTCTCGTGGCGACTGAGTGGTCCATAACGGCTGGATACTGGAATGCCCAAACACTATGCTTGCTGCATCGGGGTGCCCCTGGTGCTCTGAAAGGAAAAATATGACAAGGTTGTCAAACAAGCGTTTTGTCTCAGAGGTCCCACGATCCGTGCACGAACTGGCTAGTGTAATCCACGTTGGGGGTGCACAAACGCGATGCCTCCTACACCGCGGTGGTCATGAAGCTCTGAGCGGAGAAGGATCGGGGAGGGAACCGGCGAACCGCTCAAGGCACCCCCAAAATCGATGCGCGAATAGGCAAGCAAAAAGCAAACCACCTGAGACATCAATCTGGGCGCGAACGGCGAGGTAAAACCACCCTGACGGCTCCTTCCTCTGGGTGCCGAAATGGGACGCTGCTACATCGCGATAAACATGGGGCGCTGAAACAGGTAAATCGCCTGAGACATCCCAACAATCTGGGCGAGAACGGCGGCTCCTACTTAGAGTGCTCAAATGCCACGCTTGCTACATCCGGCGAACATGGGCTTGCCCGATGACAAAAGCCTCAGCCACCAAACAAGTTAACCGCCTGAGACATCCCCACAACCCCTGGCGGCTCCTCCTTGCGGTGCTCAAATGCCACGCCTGCTACATCGCGACGAACAGATAAACGCGAACGGGCAAATGTCATACTCAAATGCCACACCTGCTGCATCGCGATGAGCATGGGGCTTTGCAGAGCGAGAAGCCTGAGCCACCAAACAAGCAAACCGCATGAGACATCCCCACAGTGTGGGCGCGAACGGGCAAATCTCCTACCCCGTGGCGGCTTCTCATTGGCTGGCTGGCTGGGCCGAGCATCCGGAAGGACGCGTGGACAGAAGAGTGCACGATTGGCAGCTCTCCGTGAAAATCGAAAGTACACCCGCTCGAATGTGAAGCAGAAAAACGGTGCGCATCATGACTGTGAAGCACGAAACAAGAGAGGAGCGGGAGGGGAAAAGGAGGAGGACGCCGAGGAGCGGGCGAAGCGGAGTTACAAACAAGACAAATCATACACCGAAGTCGCCCACTGTTGTCGAGGTCGCCCTCGTTTTCCTACGACGTGCCCAGTGTTTGGGAATCCCGTCCGCATCGCACAAGATGTCCTTGACCAGGGATGGATCTGAGCTGGCGATTCGACTGTACAGAGCTACCTGGCGTCCCTTCAGAATCTCACATAACGGTGTCGACGACGCTCGCTGCAACACGTCGTTGTTGCGAACACTACAAACAAAAGAGTGGGGAATACAAAGTAACCACCGCAAGCATTTGCAGTGGAAGCTGTCCAATCTCGACCTGTCTGCTTGTAACAGCCATACAAACTCCAAGGAGTATATGAGCTTGGTGAGCACGCAACTGGAATATATGATGTATGTACGTTGTTTCCCAATTGACGCGTGCGCCCAAATCTGGTCCCAACAGCTTGAAAGTTGTCCAATTCCGCGGCCTCTCCTTGGAATGCTCAAATGCCACGCCTGCTACATCGCGACGGACCTTGGGCTGTGCAAATGGAGAAGTCTGAGCCACCAAACAGGCAAACCGCCTGAGACATCCCCACACTCTGGGCGCGAACGGGCAGATGCCCTACCCTGACGGCTCCTCCTTGCGGTGCTCAAAGGAAACACCTTGATGACAACATGGGCGGTGGTTTCTGGCTCCACGTGGATCGTTCAACCTTGAACGAGTGCGGCTGTCCGATCGCGCAGATCGCTCATGTCGGCCAATTCCATGCATTCGGTGACGTTCAACCTTGAATGCCCGTGCCAGAGTCATCGCAGCGTTGGCATAACACTGACCTGATGTATGCGATTCCAGAGAAGCCAGGCGTACAGATGTCTGGGAGCTTTGCTATCCAAACCAAGCCGCGCCAGTCTCTGGTGAGCCAGACTGACAAGCCAGCAGAACTGACCAAGCTACACAACGCGGGTTGGACTGTCCGAGCTACGCGTACCTCAGCCGAGTTCCGCCAAGCTGAGCGTAGATCCGCGAAGCCATACGTCGTCGCATGGTAGGCGACTGCGTCAGTCGCTCAATCTCGGACCAGCACATATCTGAATTGAGCAGCGACCAAGACGATGTAGCCCGTCGCCGAGCTCAGTACAACAACCCTGGAAGCAAGCCTGGCTAGTACGAGCTGAGGAACATTCCCCGTCCCGTACACTGTCGGTGCCAACTCGAGGTTCAACCGCCCAGACCTGTCGGCTCGCCGTGCCGACCGCGATAACACCGAATCTCCAACACAGTTCTCACGAACTGTCCTCGCTTACTTGTGGTGATTCTGCGCACGCCGCTGCCACCAAACGCGCACCTGCATGACGTCCAGGACATCTGGCCTAGTAAATTGACTTGTGCGGGAGAGGTGGCAGCCATTGTGGTGTCCTGCTGTGTACTACCGCACAAAACGCGCAGGCTGTACGTGGCATGTGCCGATCTCCTGAACAAAACGCTGGTCTGCAAAGCAGCAAACACGGAGAATCAAGCCATGGCGGCAAACACCAAGCAATTGGAGAACCACACGCCTGAAGTACTCCCTCCTCGACGCAGGGGCGGAGTAGCTCACGCAGAGCATAACGCCTCCCCCGGAGACTGTCTGCGGCGGGGAGGCACGAAAAGGCTCCCTCGGACCTTCATTGTATTGTGGGAAACTGTCAATACCCCTTGGAAAGGACCTTGCTAGGTGGTACAGCGGCGGCGAGGGAAGCTCGTCCTGAGCCTAGGAAGTCCGTCCTGAGCCTGTGGCTTTCCCTGGACCAGCTTCTCATCCCGAGTCGTTCTATGACGGTCCCGGAGTTGGGGGAGGGCCCACAGAGGCCCACAACAACGATCCCTTTCCCTCATGACACATATTCTCCATGGTGGCTACCCTCCCCCGTCCCTCCACAAAATCTCGATCCCTGCCCCAGGGGTGCAGCCCGGGCCCCGAAAAAAGCCACGGGGTACCGAAAACGACATAAACACACAAACTGCCGCCTCTATTAATCCACGCGTGGTTCGGCCGGAAACGCGGTCAGCCGAAGCAGGCGTGGAAGCGCAACTTATTTCCAATGCACCTTTGACGCGCATGGCGCTCTCTCCCTCTTCCGTTTTTGTTATATGTTTCTCTCTCTCTCTATTTCTCTTTATCATTTCCAGCCGCTGGGGGTCCGTGCGAAGGAAAATCAGGTCCCCGCCGTGGAGGCGTAGGCCGACCGCGGCGCGGCGCCTCGTCGAGCTCTCGCTCCCAGGGGACGTCAGATCTATCCACCTCGCCGATCCTGGCCCGACCCGTCCTGGGCCCAGGATCGACGTATACCCTGAGATCCTGGCGAGGCATTTGTTTCGAGTTGGGCGTTTCAGGAGAGGCGAAGTCCAGACGGACCAGACGGAGGCCGAGCACTCCGTGCGGACTTGGTATCCGATCAGGGGAAGCCGAGTCCAGACGAAGGAATCCTAGACGGAGGCCGAGCACTTCGCACCGCCTCACTCCGCACGGACTCAGCATCCTCCGAACATTTTCGCATGGTTTCGGACCCTGGGACCCTCACAGGTCGATCCGGCTCGAAAAATGTAGCAGAAGGGGGTCTGGGATTCCACTCGTGCTTTTTCACGATGTTGCTACTTTGTCGCGTCGTCGGATCTCAGAGCACGCCCTCCTGGCTGGGCCAGGGAGGCATGTACACCAGTCCTGGGCCCAGAATCGGCCCAGCCAGGATCGGTGTGGTGGGCAGTTGACGTCCCCTGATCGCCGAGCAAGCAAGCGGCGATCGTGGGTTGCCAAACAGGTGTCCCTGGCCCACGCTGTCCCCAGTCTTAAGCGCCGTGTGGAAGCCCGTGGAGCCCTCTGGGCCTCGTACGGGAGGCTCTGGAGGCCAGTGCGGCTTGCTCGGAAATCCTGGGGACGCCGTGGACCAGAGACACCTGTGGCAGTACCAGATACAACGGCGTGGCACAGTCACGGTATGGATTTCTGGAGCTCTCGATCCTGCCTTCTTCTCCCCCCCCGTAACCACGAGGCAGCGAAAGCGAAGAAAACAGTGAGGCAGCCCTGGCCATGTGTGAACCGAGTTGGGGCCCTAGCTTCTGCACGGCTGGCTCGCATCGTGACGGCCTGCGCGTTGGTTTCCGACACCGCGTGGATCGCAGAGCCTGAAAAGACCGCGGCTTCCCGAGAAAATCGCTCCATGCCAGCCGACTTCTGGGCCACCGCCGGCGTTCCATCTGGAACGCCCGGGCCAGGGTCGCCGCCGAGTCGGCACAGGGCGCTGGGGTCGAAGTGTACGGGCGGCCAGGGGCCCGAGGCAGAGGTACTGGTGCAGGTGCTTGGGCAAGCTTGCTGGAGTTGCTTTCTGGGCGGCATTCACTCCACACGTCCGCCTTGCATCGCTTCTCGTCGATCCCATCGTAGTGGCCAGTCACGCGGTACTACATTGTGCGACATGGCATAACCTCTCGGGCAACCAACAGGCAACCAGGATTCGTACATGCTGGCCACTTGATACTGAAACGCGCCACGCCAACATGCGCACATCATCGTCACGACAACATATCGGGTGTTGCCACCAGAGTTGTCCCCAGGATCTCCAAGGAAGCCCCAAGGCCTCCAGAGCATCCCCCCCGAGGACCAGAGGGCCCCAGGGGCTCCAAGATGGCGCGAAAAACTGGAGATACCGAGGGCCAATGACACATGTAGCAACCCCCGAACATATGTCATCGCAACGTCCCGCTCGCAGACGACGCCTCGCACCACGCGGATCCGCTTCACACGGCGCGCGCTGCGACAGGCTCACGGCGCACGCTGCCGTTGCGCTCCTTACTCTCCCACACAATGCTTGCAGTGGGGCCTCTCACTTGTGCTGCCTGAGTCGTTGGCGCTCCATTCATTGTGTGGGTCTGCCCAGGCTCGCCCGGTGCACGCCTGTGGCCACCCGTGGGAGCCGCGTGGGCGCCCCGTGCGCTGGGCAGTTTCGCCCGCTGCCCGCCCGCTGCCGCCCGTGGGCACCTTGGGGGCATCCCGTGGGCGGCCGCCCGCGGGCGCCTGGTGGGCGCCCGCAGAGCTTGCGCCACATAGCCTGCAGGACATCGACGGCTGGCATGGCTTGCGCAGCATACTCTGCACCACACAGTCTTCACTCCACGGACTGCATCACACAGCACGCACCGCATACGGTGCACAACGTCACAGTGCATCACTTTTCGAAGAGGATGGTGGGGGCCGACATGTTTCTCGATTTGCGCGGGCGCACCTGACACACTCTGCGATTGCTCCGAACGTGACGCACCTCTTGCGACGCACGTGGAGCACACTTGGCGCAGGTCGAGCACGTGGCGCATCTGGAGCACCAAGCGTGCCTGGCACGCTTGGGCTCCAGGGGCGCCTGGCGCGTCAGGCAACCGTGGCGCACCTCGCCCCAGCGTCGCGCACGTGGGGTCTGTAGTGGTTCCCAGTAGCTATCCATCTAAATGTAGCCGCTGAATATGCTGAGACTCGTGTACTACTTATGCGTTGGTAGGGCGGGTGGGAATGCGCCAAACAGTTTGCGCCTGGGAGAGTTGTATTGACCCCTCTCCCTACCCCCTACTTGGAGTCTGAAGGGGGGGGGCCGCGGTTCATCAAAGGGCTCAAGATGACCCAAATTTGGCTACGAGAGGGCCCAGATAGCCCAAGATGGCCTCCAAACTGATACAAACTACTATCTCAGGATGGATCAAGATAACCACCACAGGGCCCCCAAGCGAGCCTCAAGAGGGCCTCAAGAGAGCCCCAACGGCCTCCGAAATTGCCCTGAGAGGGCCCCAAGATGGCACAAGTGAGCTGCCAGGAGACTTGCATACCCAAAGCTCTGGAAAGGCACTTACGGGTTGACTCCTGGGCCGGCTCCGGCAGATCCCGAGCTTTGGCTTGACGGCTGCCCCACCTGTTCGCTCCCCTGCTTGCTTCTATACGTGAAGCGGCCAGAGTCGGAGTCTGTTCGGCCGTCGGAGTTCTTGCGGCCGCCAAGTGTGCAGCCGACTGGGATCGATTCCAATAAGGCGGCGGCATATTGGCCCGCTTGTCGGGAGAAGGGGCTCGATCTCAGGTCCACTCAGCAGCCGAGGGGTCACAGTCGCCGAATGGTCACAGTCGCAAAAATCCCAGGGTTGTCAACATGTTTCAACGTCCTGGAGCTTCCATTTCACATGCGTCTTGCCATCAGGTCCCTCGGAGCCGTCTGGCCGCAAGACTCTGAGGACCTGCCTCAGGTACGCGTCGATGACCTGCGCGGGCACTGGATGCAGAAACAAACTGTGCTCCATATCCCTTTCCCCCTCGCCCCATCCACCTCCCGGTCCTTGGTCTCCCTCTGCTGTGTACCAGTGTACCGGTGTCGAGCTGTGCTGAGCGTTTCTGAGGTGTGCGCCGCGCGAGTCTCCGACAAGCAAAATGTGTTGCAAAGCATTGGCAACTATGGTCTCAGAAGGTGCGTCGGGCCATGTGCCCAGGACCTCTTACAGCCACGACGACCCCCACCAAGGCCCGGAAGGCTCGCACATTTACTAACACCGAGCGTTGGAGGGTTGCAAGGTTCTCACTGGCCTGGACCCCCGATCTGCTGGAATCCTTCGGCGCTCACAAGGTGTGTCGCATGAGCACCCCGAAGGAAAATGTGCTGAAAAGCATGTTTTTCAATTTTGCTCTCAAACGGCGGGCCAGGGCCAAGCGCCCCCGGCCCTGCCCTGTCCACCCAAGAGGACCCAAAAACTCGCTCGAGATCCCGCGGAGGCCCACCTGATACCCCCTTGAGGCCCGAAAAGATGTCTGGAAACATCATGGACGCCTCCAAAGCACGGCGGTGGGATGGGCCGCACGCCACTAGGTACTATGAAAATTGCTGACCGAAGGGGTGCTGAAATTTCTTGTCAGCGCTGACACAATATCATCTTCGCGCGCGCGGGGCGCCCCTTCGGGGTCCCCGGACGAAAAGTACCCAGCGAAGGTCCCGCCACGGATGCCACAACTCCCGGGGGCGGTCTCCCGGCCCTGAAGATCACCCCAGGAGCGCACCAAGGGGCCCCAAGGAAGCTCCAAGAGGGCCCTAGAGCCTGGCGGGACGGGCGGCGAGATGGCCCGAAAACAATCCACAGAACGCTTCGAGATAGCCCCAGGATGGCCCCAGACAGCCCCCGGAGAGCAGGCTCCATTTCCCGGAAAGGTGCTTGCATCTAGGGGTCCCTACCTCCTCACTAAGGGATTGGTTGGGTCCGCCGAAGTTCTGCCGCGTCGCAGCTCGTGGCCGCCTCGAGTCCGCCTCGTTGCTGCCCACGTATTGGTTGGGTCTGCCGACGTTTCGCCGCGTCGCCGCCCGTGACCACCTCGTGACTGCCCCGAGGTCCGCTGCCCGTCGCCTCGTCGCCGCCCGCTGCCCACTTCTTGGTTGGGTCCGCCGAGGTCTCCCCGCGTTGCCGATGAGGTCATCCCAGCCCATCAGCGCGAAGAACGCGCGGGCCTTGATGGACCAGCTGGGCCAGTCCTCATCTCTGCCACTGAACTCTGGCAGCTTTATGTCGCCTCTGCAATCCACCAGTTGCTCTCTGGGCGCCGCTGCCATGGGCAGCGCACGTCCTCAGTCTTCCCGTGGATTTGATCTGCGTACTTCACCGCAGAACCACGCTCACCGCTACCATGGCGGAAGTTACGCGGATGCGTGGGGACAGCGTATATTAGGGTTCTTCTTCCTCCGACGCAGCTCGAACAAAAGGGCCTGCGGGTATGCTACGAATTGACGGCGCCCGAATCACTCAAGATCCCGAGCAAATTTGTCGAGGGTGTCCCAAGCGAACACGTTTCGCTCGTAGTCATACGTTCCCCCAGAGAATCGAAAGTGCCAATTACTATAACTTTATATATCCCCTTGGAACCTCGAAACGCATACCACTCGTATGTGCCACGTGCACCAGGAGCCTGAGCGCGCAGAGTAGACGCACTTTCAAGTGTCAGAAAGAGACTTGAAGCAAGGCTGCCCTGCGGTTGCCCTCTTCGGGACCTCTTCGGGCCCGCGGAATCCGCGAAGACCTCTTGGCATACCTATGTGCCTGCGTCTCCCCCTCTTCCGCCACACCATCCATCTCATCGTCGATCCTCGAGCCCTAACACCGCGGGGGCCCGCAGGGGGGCCCGCCGAATTCATGCGAGGAGCGGCCTTACGCACTCCGCCGGCCGATGGTGTTTCGATGATGTTTCGGCGATGCGTCGACGCGGGCGAGGTCCCTCAACCCGCCTAGGACAAATAAAAATACTAGCGAAATGCGCTCCGAGTGCTACGAAGGCCTCGACTCGACAAATCCCGTACGCATTTCCTGCGCCCCCAGGGCTCTGAGACACGTAAAAGAAAGAGGGCCGCTATTCAGTTTTCCTAGAAGTCTCAATTCGGTACATCCATTACGCACGTCGTGCATCACGGGTGCCCCGCTGGCCTCAAAGACCGCCCACGCACTTAAAGCCTCATGGACCTCCAGGGGCAAGCTGCTGGCCCTCACGACGGCTGAAGGGCGCCTCAATTCGACACACCTCTCACGCACTCCGTGCCTCCTCGACTCCCAAAGGCCCTCAAGTGACCCCTCTGACGGTTCAAGGGGGCGTCGATTCGGCACATTGCCTCACGCACTTCGCGTTCCATGGACCCCCAGAGGCCACTCTGAGCTCCTAAGACCGCCTGCCCCCCCAAGGGACGCCAACATGGTCCTGAGAAATATTGCAACGAGTCGTACCGACCCTCGTCGAAGCCATGCCCCGAGCACTCACTGATTGCAGAATCTGCGCGCGCATCTCCCTCGGGGGGCCAGCCGTGACTCCCGCTCTGAGACGTAGACACTTGCACATGAAATACACACAAACTTGTATATGTAAACTAGGATTAAGCTGGGCGAAAAATCTAAGATACTCAAACAATACTCCCAAAATGCTTGCACATTGGCATTGTTTCTGTGAAACAAAATTATGCGAAAGGGGTTCACCACGTAAAGATATTAACGGTCTCGTGGGACCCATGGGGTACGACAACATCAACACGAAGGAGAAGCTCATCGAACGAGCAAGTACGCACGACAGGGCAGACGAAAGAAAGGAGGAGGGAGGACAGGTGCTCAGGAAACGAAGCCTTGTAAATAGTACCGTTTCTGGATACCCTCCTCGCTCTGGCGGGGCCCCGCTGGAAGGGGGGAGGGCTACGAAACCTGGTAAAGAGCAATGCTTTCCGCGACCCTCCTCGTTCAAGCGCGGCCTCTCTGGAGGAGTGGAAGGGGGGACACGAAACCGTGTAACTGCATTGTTTTCCGATACCCTCCTGGAGGAGGAGGAGGAGGAGGAGGAGGAGGAAGAGGATAAGATGGAGAATGGTGAAGAGCAGCAGCAGGAACCGCAGCAGGAGCAGCAGCGGGAGGATGACCAGGAGTATGAACATGAGAAGGAGGAGGGTCGGGCGGGCGGGTGAGTCGCCCGAGCGTCCAAGGTCCGATTCGTGAGGTTTGTCTGGGTGGTCTCATTTTCCTCGTCCTTCCTCCTCCTCCCCCTCCTCCTCCTCCTCCTCCTCATCCTCCTCCTCGTCCTCCTCCTCCTCTGTCTTCGCCCTCGTCGGTGTCGTAGTCGTCGTCGGCAGCGTCGGCGTCGCCGTCTTTCTCAGGCGGGCCCTAAAAGGCGGGCCCTGAAGTATAGATTGCCATTGACTTGGCACGCATGTACCCCTCCTCCTCCTCCTCCACCTCCCCCTTCTCTTCCTCTGCTTCTTCTTCTTCCTCTACCTCTCCTTTCTCCTCCCCCTCCTCCTCCTCCTCCCGCGAAATCCTGAGAAGGAGTGACCGGGGCAGGCTTGGGAAGGGCACGAAACCATGTAAATAGTATAGGTTTCCGATACCCTCCTCGCTCAAGCGGGGCCTCCCTGGAGGGGTGGGAGGGGCACGAAACCATGTAAATAGTATGGGTTTCCGATACCCTCCTCGCTCAGGCGGGGCCTCCCTGGAGGGGTGGGAGGAGCACGAAACCATGTAAATAGTATGGGTTTCCGATACCCTCCTCGCTGGGGCGGGGCCTCCCTGGAGGGGTGGTGGGAGGCGGGAGGCGGGAGGGAGAAGGAGAGGATGTTCTGGGAAAACAAGAACCCCACTCAGGATGTGGGGAACAAAAACAAAGCAAAACAAAACCAAAAAACAAATACATGCATGCATGCATGCATGCATGCATACATACATACATACAAATGTATATATATACATAAATATAGATAACTATTCTAACGATTGTTTTACTATGCTTGAAAATTCCTCCTGTAGAGGGACAGGCCCGAGTTAACACTAGGACCATCGCGCGCGCGCTTCGCGCGCGCTCCTCGGGTTCTTCGGCCGAAAAGTTGGAGGCCCCAGCATTCGTCAAACAGCAAACGAAAAACGTTACAAAATACGAGAGCACTCTTTGCACAAGCGACGTGGCCCCTTGGAGACGAGGAGGGACGAACCCTCAGGTTTAGATGATTTGAACGGTAAGGAAGTCAGATCCGGAGCAAACGGAATCAGATCCTACCTGGCAGAAAACACATCCACCACGATTCGATTCGGAACAACGAATGAGGCTCGAAACATTGTTCCAGAGAGGCCCTTGCAGATGCAAGCTCACCTGAGCAACATGCCTCCTGAGCATCGTACGACAACAGCGCCGGGCCCTGTCAGCTTACGCATAGTTAAAATGAAATGCCCAAATTTTACTGCGTTTCTTGTAATCACCCTCCAGGGCTCGGGCCCAGAGGGCACAGCATGCAATCGGCTCCCCCCGAAAGGGGGCGAGGGGTATGCACACTGCCACGGCCGAATACATTCCCAGGGCGAGAAAATGTTCCTCTCTGAGGTGCGGGCCACGACACGTATGACTGGACATTGCGGCAGGTCCGACCGCAGACCGATGCGGGCGCGAAAGGCGCTGGGCGGACCGCAGGGGCGTTCTCGCCGCAGGCCATCGTGTCGAGCACGCTCTTGTCCAGCACGGCATCGAAACCTCCCACCGCCGCCGCCCTCCCAACAGCACAACGGTAGCAATGTTTGCGATCATAAAGAATCAAGGAATTACTCCGACGGTGGGACCCCACACGGGAATTTGCTTAGCTTGCCCCTCGTTTGTTCCTCTACGCCTTGGCGAAAGCCCTCCTCCCGCCCTCTGTTGCGTCTCCTCCTCATCATCGTCTTCGCCCTTCGTCTCCTCCTCGTTCTCGTCCTCCCCCTCCTCCCCCTCCCCTCCCCCTCATCTTCCCCCTCTTCCTCCTCCTCCTTTTTACCTAACAGCGAAGACTGATAGGTTTCTAGTGGTGTCAAAAGAGAGCAGCAGGTGACTCCGCAGGGGGGTCCGGGCGGGACCCGGGGCGGCTGCCGCCGAAGCCCAAATCGCCTGGGACATCCTCGCAAAATCGCTCTTGGCGCTGCTAGAACTCCATTCCCGGCGTACATTTTGGATGCCTGGAGCCAACTGTAAGCCACTTCGTGGTCTTCGAGTTCCCAGAACTCCATTCCTGGGCCACAGTTTGGATGCCCTGAGCCAACTGTAGGCCACTTCGTGGTCTTCGAGTTCCCAGAACACCATTCCCGGTCCACATTTTGAATGCCCGGAGCCAACTGGTCTTCGAGTTCCCAGAACTCCATTCCCGGGCCACATGTTGAATGCCCGGAGCCAACTGTAGGCCACTTCGTGGTCTTCGAGTTCCCAGAACTCCACTCCCGGGCCACATTTTGGATGCCCGGAGCCAACTGTAGGCCACTTCGTGGTCTTCGAGTTCCCAGAACTCCATTCCCGGGCCACATTTTGAATGCCCGGAGCCAACTGAGGCTGAGGCAGGCTGCTGCTGAGGCAGGCTGAGGCTGAGGCTGAGGCTGAGGCTGAGGCTGAGGCTGAGGCTGAGGCTGAGGCAGGCTGAGGCTGAGGCTGAGGCAGGCTGATGCTGAGGCAGGCTGAGGCTGAGGCTGAGGCTGATGCAGGCTGAGGCTGAGGCTGAGGCAGGTTGAGGCTGAGGCAGACTGAGGCTGAGGCTGAAGCAGGCTGAGGCTGAGGCTGAGGCAGGCTGAGGCTGAGGCTTAGGCAAGCTGATACTGAGGCAGACTGAGGCTGAGGCTGAGGCTGAGGCTGAGGCAGGCTGAGGCTGAGGCAGGCTGAGGCTGAGGCGAGGCTGAGGCTGAGGCTGAGGCTGAGGCTGAGGCTGAGGCTGAGGCAGGCTGAGGCTGAGGCAGGCTGAGCTGAGGCAGGCTGAGGCTGAGGCTGAGGCTGAGGCAGGCTGAGGCTGAGGCAGGCTGAGGCTGAGGCCGAGGCTGAAGGCAGACTGAGGCTGAGGCTGAAGCAGGCTGAGGCTGAGGCTGAGGCAGGCTGAGGCTGAGGCAGGCTGAGGCTGAGGCTGAGGCTGATGCAGGCTGAGGCTGAGGCAGGCTGAGGCTGAGGCCGAGGCTGAAGGCAGACTGAGGCTGAGGCTGAGCAGGCTGAGGCTGAGGCTGAGGCTGAGGGCTGAGGCTGAGGCAGGCTGAGGCTGAGGCTGAGGCTGAGGCTGAGGCTGAGGCTGAGGCTGAGGCAGGCTGAAGGCTGAGGCTGAGGCTGAAGCAGCTGAGGCTGAGGCTGAGGCAGGCTGAGGCTGAGGCTGAGGCAGGCTGATGCTGAGGCAGGCTGAGGCTGAGGCTGAGGCTGAGGCTGAGGCAGGAGGCTGAGGCTGAGGCTGAGGCTGAGGCTGAGGGCTGAGGCTGAGGCTGAGGCAGGCTGAGGCTGAGGCTGAGGCAGGCTGAGGCTGAGGCAGGCTGAAGGCTGAGGCTGAGGCTGAGGCTGAAGCAGGCTGAGGCTGAGGCTGAGGCAGGCTGAGGCTGAGGCTGAGGCAGGCTGATACTGAGGCAGGCTGAGGCTGAGGCTGTGACTGTGACTGCCGTTGCCGCTGCGACTGTCATCGCGAATGCGATTGCGACTGCGAGAACAGGAGAATTCTACAACTGGATTCTCATCTGGATCTTAAGGGGAATGTTTCCATATATGCTTCTGCACATCGCTGTTAGGTTGCTTTGCCGGGATAATCCTCCTCTGCCTCCTTTTCCTTATCGCCATCTTGCCCACTGTCCTGACTGTTCCCCCCACGCAACCCTTTCTGCCGTTTGGCCGGAGTAAACTACCTAACAGCGAAGACTGATAGGTTTCTAATGGTGTCAAAAGAGAGCAGCAGGTGACTCCGCAGGGGGGTCCGGGCGGGACCCGGGGCGGCTGCCGCCGAAGTCCAAATCGCTTGGGACATCCTCGCAAAATCTTTCTTGGCGCTGCCAGAACTCCATTCCCTGCGTACATTTTGAATGCCCGGAGCCAACTATAGGCCACTTCGTGGTCTTCGAGTTACCAGAACTCCATTCCCGGGCCACATTTTGGATGCCCGGAACCAACTGTAGGCCACTTCGTGGTCTTCGACTTCTCAGAACACCATTCCCGGGCCATATTTTGAATGCCCGGAGCCAAGTGTAGGCCACTTCGTGGTCTTCGAATTCCCAGAACTCCATTCCCGGGCCACATTTTGAATGCCCGGAGCCAACTGTAGGCCACTTCGTGGTCTTCGAGTTCCCAGACCTCCACTCCCAGGCTACATTTTGGATGCCCGGAGCCAACTGTAGGCCACCTCGTCTTCTTCGAGTTCCCAGAACTCCATTCCCCGACCACATTTTCAATGCCCGGAGCAAACTGAGGCTGAGGCAGGCTGCTGCTGAGGCAGGCTGAGGCTGAGGCTGAGGCAGGCTGAGGCTGAGGCAGGCTGAGGCTGAGGCTGAGGTTGAGGCTGAGGCTGAGGCTGAGGCAGGCTGAGGCAGACGCTGAAGCAGGCTGATGCTGAGGCAGGCTGAGGCTGAGGCTGAGGCTGATGCAGGCTGAGGCTGAGGCTGAGGCTAAGATTGAGGCTGAAGGCAGACTGAGGCTGAGGCTGAAGCAGGCTGAGGCTGAGGCTGAGGCAGGCTGAGGCTGAAGGCAAGCTGATACTGAGGCAGACTGAGGCTGAGGCTGAGGCAGGCTGAGGCTGAGGCAGGCTGAGGCTGAGGCAGGCTGAGGCAAGCTGAGGCAGGCTGAGGCTGAGGCTGAGGCTGAGGCTGAGGCTGACGATGAGGCAGGTTGAGGCAGACGCTGAGGCAGGCTGGGCTGAGGCTGAAGCAGGCTGTGGCTGAGGCTGAGGCTGAGGCTGAGACTGAGGCTCAAGCAGGCTGAGGCTGAGGCCGAGGCAGGCTGATGCTGAGGCTGAGGCAGGCTGATGCTGAGGCAGGCTGAGGCTGAGGCCGATGCAGGCTGAGGCCGAGGCAGGCTGAGGTTGAGGCTGAGGCTGAAGCTGAGGCTGAAGCTGGGGCTGTGGCTGTGGCTGAGGCTGATGCTGAGGCAGGCTGAGGCTGAGGCTGATGCAGGCTGAGGCTGAGGCAGGCTGAGGTTGAGGCTGAGGCTGAGGCTGAGGCTGAGGCTGAGGCCGAGGCTGAAGGCAGACTGAGGCTGAGACTGAAGCAGGCTGAGGCTGAGGCCGAGGCAGGCTGATGCTGAGGCTGAGGCAGGCTGATGCTGAGGCAAGCTGAGGCTGAGGCTGAGGCAGGCTGAGGCTGAGGCTGAGGCAGGCTGATGCGGAGGCAGGCTGAGGCTGAGGCTGAGGCTGAGGCTGAGGCTGAGGCTGATGCAGGTTGAGGCTGAGGCAGGCTGAGGCTGAGGCCGAGGCTGAAGGCAGACTGAGGCTGAGGCTGAGGCTGAAGCAGGCTGAGGCTGAGGCTGAGGCAGGCTGAGGCTGAGGCTGAGGCAGACTGATACTGAGGCAGGCTGAGGCTGAGGCTGTGACTGTGACTGCCGTTGCCACTGCGACTGTCATCGCGAATGCGACTCCGACTGCGAGAACAGGAGAATTCTACAACTGGATTCTCATATGGATCTTAAGGGGAATGTTTCCATATTTGTTTCTGCACATCGCTGTTAGGTTGTTTTGCCGGGATAATCGATTTTCTTCGGCGCCGCTACCGCCACGGCCGCCATGGGCGCGTTCTCCGATATCCGGATCGCGAAGCCGTTGGGGCAGCCCTGCGGGCGAGGCCGTTTGAACAACCCCGCAAGCCGCTGGGGCGCGGGAGCCAGCCGCTGGGACAACCCCGCAGGTCTCGAGCTAGACGCGGCCGCGTTCAGGCGGGGGTAGCACGAAGCCCAGCTTCGCCGCGAGCTGCTCGACCCCAGCCATGGAGATCACCGCTTTCTTGTCGAACTCCTCGAGCGCATTCCGCAGGGACGCCGGCGGCCCGCGCTCCAGGAACTCCCACGCGGGTGCATGGTCAGGACATCCTCCCAATTCAACCACAGACGACGTTCCCGCTTGATACTTCCTCAATGTTCACGCATGAGGGCCCCCGAATGTGACGGCAATTACAAGCTTGCGGATGACCCGCTCGGATTACCAACATAGTGTGCGGGCACCATGAGGAAGAAGGCTCCCGCCTGAGACTTCCTCTCAACTCACTCACGGACGAGGTTCCCGCTTGATACTTCCTCCATGTTCATGCATGAGGACCCACAGAAAAAGTGACGACACTTACAGGTTTGCGGATGGCCCGCTCGGATTACCAACATGAAGTGCGGACCACACAGGAAGAGCGCTCCCGCCTGAGATTCCCCTGCAATTCACTCACAGGCGACGTTCCCGCTTGATACTTCCACCATGTTCAGGCATGAGGACCCCCGAAAGAGACGACAGTTACAGATTGTCGGACGATCCGCTCAGATTACCAACATGAAGTGCGGGCACCATGGGGAGGGGACTCCCGCCTGAGTTTTCCTCACAATTCACTCACATACGAGGTTCCCGCTCGAGACTCCCTCCATGTTCACGCATGAGGACTCCCAAAAAATGGTGACGGCAGCTACAGGTTTGCGGATGACCCGCTCGGATTACCAACATGAAATGCGGGCCCCATAAGGAAGGGGCTCCCGCCTGCGACTTCCTCACGATTCACTCACATACGAGTCTCTGCTCGAGACTTCCTCCG